GTGCCGCTATGAAGCCCATTTGATTCATCGAAGTGACCCCCACCAGCTTGTTAGTTCCTTATGCTACCTATATATTTTCACAAAATGGTGAAAAGAGGAAGCATAGAGGTTGGGAAATGTCTTGATAAAACAGTATTAATAACATAATTTTTTGTTGTTTATTTTTTGTGATCAAACCAGGATCTTACAAATGCTAGGCAAGCACTCCACCACTGAGCCCTATCTCCAACCCCTGAGAACATAATTTTTGAATAAGAATTATAATGTCATGGACTTGAGGGAAGTTGCAGGAGAATATTGCATGATCTAACTGGGATGGAGACATTTAGGCAGTTAAGAAAATTCTAAAAGTAGAACTTAGTGATAAGATGAATGAAAATTGGGTTTGGGAGTGTAGCTCAGTGGTAGAATATATGTTTAGCATGTGCAAGGCCCTGAGTTTGATCCCCAGTACCACAGAACATTTGTTTTGTTTTGTTTGTATAAATATGCATAGAAAAGTGCAAAGTTTAAAAAGCAATCTATCTGGACACAGTAGCATACACCTGTAATCCCATTGGTTCGGGAGGCTAAGGCAGGAGGATTGAGAGCTCAAAGCTAGCCTCAGCAAAACTGAGGTGCTAAGCAACTCAGCGACCCTGTCTCTGAATAAAATACAAAATAGGGCTGGGGATGTGGCTCAGTGGTCAAGTGCCCCTGAGTTCAATCCTGGTACACTCTCCCCGCAAAATAAAAAGGAATCTAAAGTAACTCCTAGGTTTCTGATTATAGCAAGTAGATGATAACAATACTGTTTTACTTGGCTGGGGAATATTGTGGAGGTTAAGTAATAAGTGCAGTTTAGGACATACTATACCTGAGGTGTTTATGAGATATCCAAACACAGAGGTCCAGGGTCCAGCACTCAAGTCTGACCTAGAGTTGCATATCTGGGCATCTTTCATACCAACAGTTTGCAACCAAGGCCACAAACATGAGAGAAATTACCTACAGAAAGAAGAAAGAAAGACCAGAAGTGTAAGGATGTCCATGTAGTAATTGCTCTAAGAAGTCCTCATAATAAGACCAAAGGAGTAGCAGAAAATTCGGAGGGCAAAGTTATGTTGCAGAAGTCAAGGGAAGAGTGTTCTGAAGGAGATTGTTAATAGGCACAAAAGTTTAGAGGTCAAGTAAAATGAACTTGAAGCAAGTCCTTTGGATTTTGTGTCATTGATAACCTGGCGAGGCTAAATTTAGTGAAGTAATTAAAAACAAAATCTAGACTGAAGTGGGTTAACATGAGCAAAGTTTGAGGAAAGGGGCCCAGAGAGTATACACCACTCAAAGAAGAGATTTTCCTGCTCAGGGGTTAAGGGTGATGGAGTTGAAGAAGCATTAAAGAGTGAAAGGGTTCTATATTCATTTAAAGATAGCAGCTGTTGAGTCTGTTTGCATGTAATTGCTTGGAGCCATTAGAAAGGTTAACATTTACAAGGCAGAAAGACTAACAATGGCTTAAGATTCCAGAGGAGGCTGAAGGTCTAGAATACAGACTCTTCTGGACCTGTAAAAACCTTCAGTTGCCCTTAGTTAAAGTCCAAGTCTTTAACTAAGGTGGCATTGCACCTCAATGATCCTTCTGAGTCTCCCATAATGGATAGCATTCTCATTACTCGGGGGTTGATTAGTTTCCCCTTTATTGATTTCCTATTGCTCTGTGACAAGGTTAGTACCTTAAAACAGCACAGATTTATTAGTGTATAGTTCTGGGAATCAAAATTCCAAAACAAGTACCACTGGGCTGAAGTCAAGGCATCAACAAGACTACACTTCTTAAAACATTTCTAGGAAGAAATGTTTCCTTGCATTTTTTCCAGCTTCTATTATTAGCCACTTAAATTTCTTGACTCACAGCTCCTTTCTCTATCTTCAAAGCATCTACAGACATTTCTCTGACTCTGATCCCTCATGTCCCTCTTAGCACCCTTGTGATTACATTGAGTTCTGGGTAATCCAGCACAATTTTTTTCTGTCTCAACTTCCGTAATATAATTACATCTGCATTTGTCATTTGGGATTACATATATTCAAGTTTGGGGAGCATCTTTGGGGGTGTCATTTAGGACATTTTTGTTGACATTTTAGGGGGTCATTATTCTTCCATTCATATTTCCCTACTTACAAAGTACTCTGAAAAGCTTACTGAGGATTATGGATTCTCAGCTTCAGAGCTTCCTCTACTTAATGTTTTGTATAAATTAAAATCTCAGTAATGAATTTCATTAATGTCATTCTTGGGTGATGGAGTATTCACCACTTGGAGAATCTGTTCTGAGAGTTATGTGAAGGTCCCACTTGGCTGATACTAGTAGCAGTTAATTTCATCATTTTTAGTGTTCAGGGCAAAATAAGTGAACAACCCAAATAAATTCTGTGTGATTCTTCTGCTGCTCTAATAGTTTTCACAGTTTATTCTGTTTTATGTAGATTTTTTTTTAACTTAGCCAAGAGGTGCTAGCTCCAGATTTCATGCCATATCTAGGTGATTAGTAAAGTTCAGTGGCACATCCTTATCTTTCCAGGGCTAATCAAACAAAGAGACATAGGAGATGAGGTGAGATTCAAGGAAGAGAAGAACCACATACTCTTAGGGATAGCTGCACACATCACTCAAACTTAGGCAAGCAAAGATGGTTTTATCCCATTATCAGGAACATCTGATGGAGTCAAGTCTGCTAAATCAAAATGACTTACATTCCTACACAACCCCATACCCCTGCACGGTTTGTTTATTTTTTTAAAAAAAATTATTGGCACATTATAATTATACCTAATGGCAATATTCATTATTCCATATATTATGATACAAGCGTATATCATAAGTTGATCAATCTCACTCCCCAGTACTTCCCCTAATCCTTTTCTCCTCCCTGCATGGTTTAGAGAAGCAAAATCCTGATTTTTCCCCTTTTTTTTGGTACTATGGATTGAACCCAGAGGCACTTAACCAGTGAGCCACATCCCCAGTCTTTTTTATATTTTATTTATAGAGAGGGTCTCACTAAGTTGCTTAGGGTCTTGCTAATTGCTGAGGCTGGCTTTAAACATGCAATCTCGGCACCTCTTGAGATGCTGGGATTATAGATGTGAGCCA